TTGAGCGACTCCGGCACCTCTCCCGACACGTTTGCGTTGGTCATGGCCAACAGTGAAACGATATCCGCCAGCAAAAACTTGTTTTCTTTGTCCTTCATCTTTTCGTACACGTCCTTCAAGGTTTGCAGGTGCGGTCTCAAAAACTTCAGCGGTTTTGGCACCGATGTCATCGAGCTATTCGCGCGCGCGCGTGCAAGTCACGACCTTCGGTCAGTCCACGTCCTTTCATACGTCTCGCCGCGTCGTTGGGCGCGCTCGCGGTCGAGCTCGATCGAGATCTCACGCGCCGACGCACCTCGTCGCTGTTCGGATCTCGCGTCGCATCGTCTCCAGCGCCAGTTTCGCCACTCCCGTCTTCGGATCGCTCGCTCGCATCACCATGAGCTCTAAGTTTTCCTTGAGCGCGGCGTCCTCTTCGCTCAGCTCTTGCTCGAGTTTTGGCTTCCCGTTCGTCGAGTCATTCTTCTTTACAGTCGTCGAGTCGTCGTCGATCGACTTCTTCTTCGCGTCCTCCTCCGCGCGCTTCTTCGCATCCTTCTCGGAGACGACCATCGCGAGGGGATCGCAGACAGAAGATTACGTCACCTTCTCGCGTTCGATCGCGCGTGAGAGCGTCGACAGCGGAGAGGACTGAGGAGTGCGAACGATCGGTAATCTCCTTTTTTCGTACTGATGAGATGTCATAGAGCTGCACCAAGACGAACACGCTTAGGGGGGATCACGATGCGCATCGATCGATCGATTCGGCGAGGGGTCAGGAAAGCAAACGAAAGGAATTTTTTGTTGTCTATTCAATCGAGTGACTCGACGCATGTCATGCGTCTGGCTCGCTCGTACGCGCGGAATCTAGCGTCTTTTGCTTGTGCGCCAATACCGAGGTGTTCGACTTCATAAGCTCGCGAAGGACCATGGTGGCGTAAGACGAGGGTGGAAGGGTAAATTTGACGGTGACAGCGCGCAAAGGGCCATCTTCGATCTTGAGCTCGTTTACGCCATTCACGCGATCGAGATCGGTCAAAGCCAAGTCAGCCTTTGGGTCGGCGTAACATGTCATACGGTGCGAAATATTCTTAGGCCTGAGGAAGCATCGACGGTAATCTCCTGTGAAAGCTGTGATGGAAAATTCACGAACGGAGTGAGAGACGCTCTCCAGATTGATACCGTCCTCAGCGGCGATTTTCTTGTAAATATCGCCCATGTTCGTTGGGTAAATGACTGAGTGACCCGGAAGCGGAAGTACAACGCACTGCGGATCAATAGAACTCGAAGCTGCTTCCTCGGCGGTAACCACGCGTACCTTCGGCATCGTCACCTCTCTATCATCATCATCCCGTTCGTTCTCAAACTCTGCGAATCCTCCATCCTCAAGAACTAAATCTCCTTCAACAACCGTGTTCATTCCGTATTTACGGATTCGTGCCGAAGCAACTCGATTGAACATGAATGCTTGATAAGCGTGGACATACATCAGCCTTATCTGCCTCGGTGTGGCCAAGAGTGGCCCGACCAAATCGGTCGATCGTACTTTCGTCATACGTTCCAAGACGGCGCGCTCTGCCGCGCACCAACGTGGGAACAGTTTCAAAGCCACCTCAGGATCCCGTGTTTCCTGCCATTTCGCGCGCGCAGCAGCGACATCTCCTCGCTCTCCATCACGTGGCAGAAGCAAGAGATCGATCGCACCCTGCCAGTTACCCTTCAGAAGTTCTATTCCAATTTTATGCGTTGCGTGCTTGACATCGCCATTTCCAAATCTCTGCAAACCGAAGTAGTTGATTGTCCCCGAAGATTCAAGCGAGCGCACTGATTCCTCAACCTTGTCAACCTCTGCGGGATCGATGCCACGAAGGGTGATCTCGAATTCGTTCCCAAGGTGATCTCCAAACCCAAGTGGTTTATCGACGTACTTGTAGTTACCGATTTTACATCCGTACAGCACGAGTTTAGCCAATCTCTTAGCCCGAACTCGTCGCATAGTGACGTGTTGCGTAGTAACCGCGCGCTTGTCCTTCGTTCCCGAAATGCCAAGTGACTTGTAATGCACCTTCAAAGCGCGAGCAATGACGCTCAAAATCTCATGAGATTCCTTGTTTTCCTTGCAAAGCGCAAATTTCACATACTCGGGCACGCCCTCCGGCCAAAAGTTGAACGATTGCCGATGATCCTTGACCTGCGGTGCTTGATTCTTGCGCTTTTTCCCTTGCTTTTCGGCTGCGTGCACGCGAACGCTTGAGGGAGGTTTCTGGTTATTTTTCAAAGCCTCCTTCTCGCTCTCCTCAGATTCGACGACGTTATCAGTGGGTAAAAAGAAGTGTCTCTTGAAAAATTGGTGAATCTGCGCTCGTTTCGACTTGTCCGTCGTCGCCCTGAGCACCAATGGAGCGGGTGTCTCCGTGTGTCTATCTAAATATTTCTGACTCTTACGCGTCACTCCTGGGATGGCTAAAAACTCTTTCAACCGTCTCGCTTCGTCTTCTCCGCACATTGCCTCGAACTCTTCCATCGCTTTCTCATCGATAGCGTCGTTCTCCTCGTCATCGTCGTCTTCAACTCGCTCCTCCGTCCCGTCCTCGCGCGCGGGAGCCGCCGTCGCGGCGAAGTTCGCCTTTGCTCGCTCAAACTTCGCTCGCTCGCGCTCGTCGATCGCTTCGTCCACGATCGCTCGAAGTTCACTCAGCTCGCACCCATTCCCGCTCTCTCGTTCGATCTCTCGCACGATGAAATCACTGAATCGCTCCTTGACGATGCCCTCGAACCCGGCGGCGGCGTTGGCGTACAGCTCGATCCCGACCGAGCGCTCCTCCGTGTGCGTCGGATCGTCGTTCTCCGTGTGCGTCATCGCGGTCGAGAATAACAGTCCCACGCGCGCGCCCCCCGGTCGCGCGTCGTCGATCGTGGTAAACGACCGACGCGCGGTTGAAAGTGCGGGACTCGAGCGTCGTCGGTGCACCTTCACCTCACTGCGCGTCATGTCGATCGACACCGGGTCGATCGACGACGCGATCGAGCGTGGAAAATTCAAATCGACGCAACTACGAGGCTCGACGTTCTTCGTCGCGTGGAGCGGCGTGCTCACGCTCGCGTGGAGCGGGTGGACGAAAGAGTTGCGTCGGTTAAAACAGACTTTGAACTCCGAGGTCGATCCCGCGTTACAGCGTGAGAACCCAGGGTCGGCGTGGCCGAAAACGTCCATCGCGTGTGTCGCCGACGACGCGCCAGCGATGTCGAGGGAGGAGTACGACGCGCTTCGGGCGGTGATTGGGAAGTTTCGCGAGGCGGTGACGGAGGCACGAGCGGACGTGGACGAGCTCAAAGTTGTCGTCTTCGGCGCGAGGTGCTGTGAGAAGAGATTGAGCGTGAGGAAGACGGTGCGATTTGAGAGTGGAGACGCGGACGAGTGCGCGATCGACGAAGAGAGTCGAGCGTATGTGGATAAAGTTGTGAAAGAGGGAGACGCAGTCAATTACCTCGAGCGTGTAAACCAACCTGGACATCGCGAGAGTCATTATTGCTCTGGAGCCGGAGTGACGCTGGTTCAAGACTGCGGGGACACCATAGGACGACTCGTCGATGCGTTCCGGGCAGAAGTTGACGCGATCTTACCGGGTAGGTACCGTTGGTTCAATCGCGAATGTTTACACATCACCATTCGCGGACTGGTCAACTGACTGAATTGTATCATCATAATGCGATTATCAAATTGCGTTTTTACATTCTGTCGACGTAGTAATCGGTTTCATCATCGTACGCGGCGATGCGCACGGTATCCTGAACGCGAGACGGATCGACGATCATGGGGCCTTGCGTCACCCCTTGCACGCGCGCACTGGAGTTGGCGTAATCGGCAACAATGAGAGCGACACGCTGCAGGATGTCCCACTGCCAAGAAGAAGCGTTCGCGCCAGCCGCACCAAACAAGGTCGCCGCTGGGGACGGTTGCTTGAGCTGTACACTGAAAATTTCAGCGCCCGCGCCGAGAAGGTCGAGAAGCACATCGTCCGAAGTCTTCAACTTGTCCACCAAATTACGAGCGAGTGCGTCCTTCCCGAACCAGGTTTCACCGGTCGCGACCTCATCAATATCAAGAGATGGCCTGTTATCGGCAACGAAACCCTTAAAGAGGACCAGCACATCTTCGATGTCCTTCTTCGACTTCGCGAGATCCTCTTTCGTAACTTTCTTTGTTGGCGTCAAAGTGCGTTTGAATTTGCCAGCAGTGACAGTTTGAAACTCAATGCCTTCGCGCTGAAGACGCTCGTAGACGTTTGGTTGCTCGCTGATGACGCCAATTGAGCCCAAAACAGCGAATGGCGACGCCACAATTTCGTCGGCCACGCAAGCCATCATGTAACCGCCGGAAGCCGCCACCTGTTCAACACAGATGGTCAACTTGAGTCCAGCTTCCTTGATTCGCATGAGCTGCGCCGCGGCGAGACCGTAGCCGGTGACAGTACCACCACCCGTATTCAAACGCAAGACCACTTCATCGCCGCGCTCCTTCTTTGCGGCTCGCAACAAGCCAGTGACTTCTTCCCGCAATTGCTCTCCTTGAGATGCTCGAACATCGCCAAAAAAATTGAGGACAAAGACATGCTTCTTATTCAACCGCGAGTTCTCGTCCGTTTCCGCATTCGGAGCGAGAACATCGGTGTCATTTTGCCAACCAGAAATCACGCGCGGATCGGCGAGAAGCTTCATGAGGCTCTCGCGGCGAGACTTTGGGAGAGCCGCGCCCACGGCGGCCAGGTACTGCTCTTCAGCCTTTGCGCGCTCAGTTGCGAGCTTACTCAGCTTCTTCGTCAATCCGGCCAACTTATCACCGCCGAAAGGGTTCTTGAAGCCGCCCTCGTTTGTTTCACTCTGAGTCTCAGACGATTCTTCGCCGCTAGACTCGCTCTGGTTCTTTGCGCGTTTACCGCCAGACTCAACTGCCGCGGCTCGGATCTGCGCCAAGAGCTGGTTCATCTGCTCCATCAAGCCCTTATCCGTCATCGACCACTTCTTGTTTGCTTCAAAAATAGCATCGCACTCTTCGTTCGTGAGCGAACCGAGGGCGGCGCTAAACTTTTTACTGAACTCCATGGTCTTGCGCCGACGCTCAGCTTGGATTTCGCTCACCGTCGCGGCTTCAAACGACAGAGAATACTTATCGAGCTTATCGTTCATCCGCTTAATCTCCAGGTACGGCTCACTACGCGGCTTCATGGCCGCACCACCACTCCTGATGAAACCGAATGGGCCGCTTCGTTCTCCGTCTTCTTTGCGCGAGGCGTTTCGTCTAGACGACGCCAGCACAAAGAACGCCACGGCGCCCACCGTCACCGCGGGAACCCCCCACGAGATGAGCGTCTTTAACGTGTATAGCATTAATTCCTTCATCTCTGGCGAGTTCATCGCCTCCGGGAACCACCCGAACGCGTTCGCCACCGCGCTCGCCGGCGAGGCCGCCATCGCCGGAGCCGCCGCCGCCTGCGCGACCGCGCTCACCGCCACCACCACGAGCTCTCTCGGCAACGCGCGCTCGGCGCGCGCGTTTGACGTCTTCTTCTCCGTCCGCATCTCCGCTCCCGGTGCCGACGCGGACGCGCCGCTCACGCCAACGCGTCGTTGAAGACGCGTCGGATGATTACCGCGTCCATCGCACGCACACGCAGTTCGTCGCGTCGTCGACGCCGCGCGCGACGTCGAGAGCGATGCGCGAGCGAGGACGATGGTCGACGACGACGCGAGCATGCTCGATGGCGCACGGGTCTCTCGGAAGGCGCACGTCGACGAACGCGGGCGCGCGAGGGAGCGAGCGCTGGTACGCCAACGAAAAGGCGATGACGTCGCTCGATGGATGGAGAAACATGGCCCGCGCGCGGGGGGCATGACGTTATTCTCAATACGTTGTTCTCAATACAACAAGATACCGTCGAGTTTATACATGAGTGGAAATGCGACGCATCAGTACGCGATCGATTGCGTCTTTGCGAGCTTTTTCCTGCCGCAGAGGCGGGTGACGTCGCCAAATCCGTTCACCGGACCTGCTGCGGCGAGTAACGCGATGAACAAAACGACAGAAACGATCGATGAATACACCGTTGAAAGAAGCACAATCGTTCCGAACTTGGTGAAAAAGACGACGACTGCCCTGAGAAGAGCGAACGCAGCGCAGAAGGTGGTGAAGGCAGCGCTCAACACGGGGAATCCCATCATGGAGACGGCGTGCCGCGCGCATTCGCGGCGCGTCGCGCCCTCGTGTCTGGCCGCGTGAGCATACGCATGACCAATATGAACGACGTAATCGACGGAGAGACCGATCAAGATCGTGATGCAAATACCTTCCAGGAAACCGAGAGTCCACCCGAGCGAAACAATCGTACCGACCGTGCAACCTAGGATGGTCAAGATGCACAGCAAAGAGTAGATGCACACAATGACGTTTTGAGTCGACAACATGGTGGTGAATGCGGCAATGGCGAGCGTCGTAGCACCGGCAATATACACCCCATCTCGCATCTGCTTTACGGTGTCCATCCAGGCCCACGCTTCGCACGTTTGATACGCGTTTCGCAAGCCTTCGGGTGCAGTGGCAATTTTGGCGGTGACGTAGTTTTCCCACCTCTCCCACTCTTTTTCCAACTCTTCGATCGACGCCGTCCACAATACAGAGGCTGCGAATTCAATCGCCATGATTTTCATTCTTCTTTTACCATTCGAGTCGACGTAGAAGGCTGATGTGAAAGGTCGATTGAGAAATTGATAATAGCTCCCAGAGTTTGCGTACGCGTAAGCGCAGTCATAGAAATTTGCTTCGGGGACGGGAATGGACGTCGCGCCCCCGCATTCGGACACAGGAGTCGGATTGCTGCTCAACCAAGTATCCATGTATGTAAGCCAGCAGTTCGCTCGACTATTGCTCGCCATATTGGTCTTCGTGTCTTCGCAAAAATTTTTTAACCATGTCTGAGACTCGGGAGAGGACATGTCAAAAGTCGTATCCCAGTGAAACGTCGGCTTTGACTTTGGGTTGAAGTGATTCCCGTTATCACCGGGATGTATCCCCCATACAACCTTCGGCCAGACGGAAGCTTCATTGGAGCTCTTGAAACCGGAACGTTGGAGGAATGAAAACTTTGTGAACATGTTGTCCTCGGGAAGCATCTGCACCTCGCTGTCTCGCGGTGTCGTCAACTTCGACGCACTGTAAATACCAGCGGCAAAAGCTCCGCAGAGACAGAGAGTGAGCACCCATCTAAGAAAGTGGATGACGGGATATATTTTGTCTGCGATGAACGCTTCAGATGTTGATCTTCGTTCGCGGGTGTTATCGATGATGACGTCCGGTTTTCTCGATCTGCCCCCGCAACAACGGCACCGCGCGACGGATCCCCAAAAATCGAGAAACCAAGAGCCCACGGTGTTACGCCCAGTCTGCTCATATCGAATTATCCTATCGTGCTGCCACGCGATCATTGCGGCGAAAATGGTGATATCGTACAGATAATCGAAGACGACCATTGCTCCCATGAAGACTGCGAAAACTCTGATTGGGGCAATTGGTATGACTGCGTTCGAGAAGAACGCCGCCGCAGTGGTCAATGATGTCAGGAACATGGCCCAAGCGCTGTCCCAATAAGAATGTTTCGCAACATCGAGGGCGGATTGACCGGGTGCCAAGCGACACTTCGCCTGCTGCCACTTATCATAGATGACAAAACAGTCGTCAGCGCCGATGCCTGCGATGACAAACACACCGATAAAGTTGAGGAATGGAAAAAAGTTGATACCGCAAATCCTCTTGGTGAAAAAAATAGCGCTTGGAAACGACAAGAGCACTTGTATGATGCCACCCAACGTCAGCCACACGGACCCCATGTGGACCCATAAGAGCACAACGATGATGACGACGGCGCCCATGGCGAGCATCATGTCAGTCGTCAGCTGCTTATCAACCATAAACTCCCGCACATCGCTACTCCTCGTGTCAACGTACACGTCGAAATAAGCCGCGTATGGTGCGGCGAGCTTGCTCAGAGTTCCAGAGTCGAAGATGTCGAACGACCACTCATAAATACGATCCCGGGAACTTTTGCGTGATGAATCCATGGTCGCGACGGAGCGAGTGAGCGTGAGATCCGTGATGCCGCTCAGACCGAACTTCGCGTCCAACGCGGAGGCATCGTACGTAAGAAGAGCTCCGGAACAACCGCTTAGACTGGTACAACTTGCGCTCGAGTCACTCGCCTTTGCAGCTGCGCATTCTTTCATGCACGTCTTCTCCGTCGCCAACTTTGCCTGCAAAGCTGAGTTGGTGCGATACTCCGAGCAACCGGAGTAGCCTGCCGTCTTGTATAAGTACGTTGGATACCCGTATCCTCGCACGCATCGCTGATACGATGAATCGCCGCGGGACTCCCACCACTCCCATCCCGTGTCAAAGCTCTCTCCCGCGGGCAGACCGTCGCACACGCTCTCGTGCCTGCACATATCTCCGTATCCGGAGACGGACATGTAGGATTCCGTGAACTCGCACATGGCCGCGAACGCGTCGCTGGACCACAGATCCACCCCGCTCTTGGCTTGAAATATCACGTTCATGTCTTCTTGAGACTGTCGGTACGTATCGGTCTGCGACGCGCACGACGGATTCGACGACAGCCGCCTCCTCGCCCGCGGGGTCTCCAGGTACGCCGTCGCCGACGACGAGTCACCGTCACCATCACCGCTGTACAGCGCGTACGGCGCCTGACGGTCGGCGATCATCGTCCCTCGAGTCTCCCACCCCTCCGTCTGAATGGTCAATCCGTCGAACAGCCCGACCGCCGCCATCGCGAGCGCGAACGCCAACGTCCCTCCGCACGTCACGCACGGTCGTCCCGCGACGCATCGAACGACCCGTCCCGCGTCGCCGTCTCCATCGCTCGCCCACCCCGCCGTCGTCGTCGTCGTCGCCGCCGTCGCCGCTCGGCGTCTCGGCGACACCCAGCGCGGGGCGTCCGTCGTCGTCGTCGTCGTCGTCGTCGTCCCGTCGCGTCCCATCGTCGTCGTCGTCCCGTCGCGTCCCATCATCGTC